AGGGAGAAGGAATGTAGAAAATCTCTTATTTTCTGTTTCAAGTGTGCTATTGTGTGTGAAACATTCTGTAAAAGCTGGAGACTCCTTTCTAATTTATTAAATAAAACTACTACTGATATCATTAATACTAATCATCATGAATACTCATAATTAATTATCAATAATTATGTTATTAAGAGGATTTTTGTCTCCTAGATTGGTGGTAAACGTGAAACATCACTATGGAGCACCATCAATTACCTCTATCCAGAGGACTGCATCTGCCCAGCTACAAAAGCAATCAAGGAAGCAGATTAGCATTGCATCAGGAATTTGGACTTCTAAATAACTGCCTGAATCCTAAATTGCTGCTGCAGCCTTGCATATAGAATATCTGTCCTGTTAGCCCTGTGAGGTCCAGTGGCATGCTATAATTAGCACAATATCAAATAATCATATGTGGAACAGATTGGACATATTTCAGGACAGGGTATGACAGCTGTGAAAAAGCTGCACATTTCTGTTTCAACCTGAAGCCTTGTGGATTTGAATTGCAGTGAATGCTTTCGGAAAGCGCCCTTGGGGAACCAGAGTGCACACCAGTTTGTAAGACATGGAAACTGAGGACATCCCAGCCGGGACAGGCAGCGGCCAGCAGCACTTAAGTCCTCAGATCCACTCAGCAACATTGCTCTGCTCACACACTTGAATCTTTTCTTGTCCAACACCCCACTGAAGAGGAAAATGCTCTACAAAGGTTTGCAACACACATACTTGCTCTGGACTTTTTCCTGCTCAGCAAATGCAAACCCTGCTGGCACATTTGCTTATTTACTTATTGCAACAAAATGCAGTTGAATAGGACATTTTCTAACTGGGGAGTTAACGCAGCAAAACTATGCCTACTTTCTATATAAGAAAAGCTAATGAACAGCTGCAAAGGCACAACAAAATTTGAGTATTGGGTTTGGCTTTCCATGGTTCAGAAAATGAATGGAATTTTAATTGAATCCAGATTTTCCCATGTGTTCATGTTGACAGCATTTATTATTGTAACTGCAAGAGCCAAGTTGACACTTCGATGTTGTTCAATAAAATAAATTGGTTCACATAATTCAATGAATTAGTCCATGTAATAGAATACATAAATAACCAAATCTCTTGATTTCCTCACCTTTTAAAAACATAGGAAAAGCAAAACTGGTGAATGTCAGTAATGTTAAAGGTGAAGCTTAGCTTACAAGCAAATGATTGCAAGCCCCTGCTTTTTTTTTTTCCAGAGGTATGATGCAATTGCACTCATCCCTACATAATAGTATGTGTTCTGTCATTAAAGCCTGAAATGCAAATGACAGACAACTTACTCTTCCATATTTCTGTGATACATCAGCCACTCTCTGGGCAGCCTGTTCCAGGGCTCTGTCACCCTCACAGGAAAGAAGTTCTTCCTCACATGGAGGTGGAACTTCCTGTGTTTCAACGTACCTCCATTACCCCTCCTTATGTCACCAGCCACCACAGAGAAGAGCCTGGCCCCATCCTCCCTACATTCACCCCTCAGTTACTTGAACATGTTAATCAAATCTCCTGTCAGCCTTCTCTTCTCCAGGCTAAACAGCCCAACTCACTTAGTCTTTCCTCATACGATAGATGCTCCAGCCCCTTAATCATCTTCGTGGCTCTACGCTGGACCCTCTCTAGAAGCTCAATGTCCTTCTTGTACTGGGAAGCCCAGAACTGCACACAATACTCCAGTAGTCCTGCAGCACAAAACTTAATTTAGCAATCTGATGCAGGAAAGCCTTCTTTTGCTCCTTTCTATTTGGTCTTTTATGCAAGGGGTATTTTTCTGCAACTCTCCATCTTCTCTGTTAAGAATATTCTCTACTATTCTCTACTATTTTGTCACTTCCACATGTACAGGAATTCTGGGAATGACAACGGAATAACTAGGCTGAGGAAACACCCTCTCCTGTCTTGTCTCTGGAACCTAATCATACACTATCTTTGCTTTTTCAACATTTGGCTGAGCCTAGGACTTGGATGGGAGTGCGCTGACCTTGAAGCCTGAAAGCGGTAAAAGAAAGGTGAAATTTGCGAGCAGCAATTTGAGGGTCAAAGAGATTGCTTTCTGCTTGCATATTTTCTCATACTGTAAGTTTTCCAAAAAAGATTTACAGTTTGGGTTTACTTTGGGAGCTTCAGCTGTTTCTGAGATGAAACTCGCAGCCAAGTTTTTTTTTTTTTCCTCTACAGTGTAACCTTTGGAAAATTTCATCATTGTAGTCTATTCAGACCTCTTAGCCCCTCTTCCTTCTGCAGAGCAAAACATACAAAGACTATTGTTAACCTGCTGAGATCCTGACAAGGATTTCATCAAAGGCAGAAGATGACTGGAAATGGCCCATTATCAAAAGCACATTAAAATAACAGACACAAAAAGCCCTAATTTCACCAAGTGAGGAGTGGGAAGAAATAGCCTAACAGGAAGAAAAAACATTTGACAGTATTGCAGCTGATGAGGGAAAAGCAGTGACATTTGCATCCACAGCCACACTCACCTGTCTTACTCTCTTTTTTGAGCTTCCAACTCTGAATATTCCTACTGTCTGGAGACCTGCAAGTATAGCACATTAAACAACTGTTTAATTGCTTAATATTCTGCTGAAAGTTGCATTGAATCAAAGCAATATGGGCAATTTAGGCACTTAAGATTAGGTAAAAAAAGAACATTCTTCTACAAGCTCACATACTTACCATACTGAGGCAAACCTCGGCTGTCTTGGAATAAGCAGCCATCCAGTGCACTTTTTAAGGACCTCACATCATCTAACCTGCAAAATAGTATCTAAATGACATTTCCTGTGGCGCCTTTCTGAGATATTCAGGCACTGCTTGTCACTTGGAGATGACACTTCCAGAAAAGATCCCAAATGAAATAAGCAATATATTGCTTGTATATTGCTTCCCTGTACGCTGCAGATGTGTAGCTTTGCAGTGTTTGGAGCTGCAGATTCTCATCAGAGAAATTCAAATCAGTTTCTGCCTTTTATCTTTTGAATCTCAACGTGGTACCTCCCTTAATTGACAGAATGACACAGAAGCAGCTTAGTAAACCCAGGGACATTGTCAGGGAATCATGTGAGACAGAGACATATTGAGCAAAAACTGGAAGCTGGCTACCAATTCCTACACATCCAGGCAATATTTATTTTACAAGAGGGGTCCGCAGCAAGTCAAGCCTTTGCAACTCTAGAACAACTTTAGGACCCAGGGAGCACAGGGGAGGTTTCAGTCTGCCTTCGATGGACTAGGCCATGCTTTTCAATGACTAAAAACATAAAAGATTTTATCATATCACACTGCTTAAAATGGTCTTATAACACACAACCCTAGGCAATTTTCAAAAGGACTTACTCATATAGGCAAATATTTTCAGAACCAGAAACTCAGGCAGTCATATAGCTTGGAATGACATTGCAACAGAATTGTTGCTAGATCAGAAAATCCTCTATTTCCCTAAATCCAAAGAGCAAACAGAAGGGTCTGTTCTCTATTAGCCTTCTACCATCTATATGTTTCTCCAAGTCATCCAGTCTTGATGACTGTTGCATAATGGTTTTGTGGAAGACAGACTGTACTGAGCATCGAAGAACAGATATCTTTTGCAACAGATTAACCCAGAACTGCAGGTGAGATAAAAATCCATGTCTACCTCAAATCATCTTATACTATTATGTTATCGTATACGGAATTTAGAAACTTACGCACTTGGAAAAATACACAAATGAAACATCAAAAATTTTGTTTAACAGGAAAATAATGCAAAACAAATATTTTAGTAAGGAGAGTTGTTTAGAAAAGAATATTTGTTATTACAGTGAGTTAAGTGGATTAAACACTTAATCACAGAGTTAAAACAACATAAAATTACCATAACCAAAGGATACTGGGCTGGATGGCCTTTAGACTGATTCAGCTACTTTTATGCTCTCCAAAGTCACTTAGTCTGGATTAAAGGGATGAAGGTCATTCATCTCACCCCTATATTTACTTCGTGGCCATGATATCTAATCTCTATAGAAGGCTACTAATGACTTGCTGGCAATGTTTTCCTTTCTGTATTTGTAAGCAATGCTTTTTTCAATTATGTTTTATAAAAGTTCATCATTGTTGTTTCAATTGCAGTCCTCATCTGCAAAAGCCTTTCATTAAGGCTTTCCTGCTCATCAAGTTAGGCATCAAACACATGATTTGGTGTTGCAATTACTCTAACTTAATGGTTTATTTATTATCTGGACACACAGTAACTCTGGCTTGCTGTGGCCAAGTAATTTCAATTTTTATACAATATCTTTACAAGATGTCCAAGATACAGTAGAAGAGTTGTCGAACTGATACCTTGCTTGCTTCTGCACTGCATAAAGTGTGTGCGAGGTTTGTGTTTAAATGGGAGCTCAAGAAAGATCACAAAAACTTGAGAAGAATATTGGCATGAGCTTATAATTTGCTTCAGAGAAAGCAGGCCGGAGGCTGGTCAGTAGGACCCACGTCAGGGACAAACTGAGTAGGCACCATGGCAGCCTTGTAGTAGAGGAAACAAAGCAAAAAAAGGCTGCCTGGAGCTTAGTATAATCCAGCATGTGGGGTTTTGTTTGTTTATTTCTCCATACCTCTCTCTTCAAATACTGTATCCAGTAAAGCTTTGCACTGTAGTATACACAGTTCATTTGGCTTTTTACTGTGAGATCTAGTGCTTGTTAAGAATAATTTCTGGCTGACTGGCACATCGCAGACCTTCCATTTTCAAGATATAGGTGAAGCTGCAGAGTGTAAAGAGCCCTTCCCACAGAGCTGAGCACTGCAGCACAAGACGACTGGCCTCCAAGCAGTGGCTTTTCCCCCAAGCTGGATCAGGCAGTTTGCAAGCTGGCAGCAGAGCTGCTCATTTGGAAAAGATATCCTCTAAGTAAGCATTTGGAATCTTTTTGTTTGTTTGTTTGTTTTTAATACACGCTTATTTATTATAGTAAAAATATATCTGTCACTTCTGGGAAAAATGAAATGTCCTTACCATGCTTTTCCAAGTGCTGGCAGCAACTATCCACAAGCCGGGGAACCTGCCGGTAAATAGGGTTCAGACTTAGTTTCTTATCTCGCGCCTTTTCTTTCTTGCTCTGAGCTTCTGCTGGCAAAGAGAGCTGGAGAGCTTCTAGGAGCCGTGACTGGTTGTCATCCAAATCTGTAATAGAGTCCACGGACATCGCGCCCTGCAAAAGACACACATGTGAATGGTCAGCATGGCTGGAGGAACCTCAGCTCTCCCAATCACAGCACCTTCCTTAACCGAGGCTTTCACCTACCTACACACTGCACAAACTAGTACCTAAGCACATTTTGCCACACAGCTTTCAGGAATGAATGAAATTAGACAAACATAATACCAGTGTAATGGCTGGGAAAATCAGGACTGTTTCAATGCTGTTGCTATGCCACTACAATGAATACAGATTAGTTATAAAAAATAAACTTAATGCTTCCCACTCTGGCACACCCTTTGCATCATTTTAATCTGAATATGTTTCAAAACAAGGATGGATACTGGATGGATGGCAGAGCTCAGAGGGTGGTGATCAGCGGTGCAGAGTCTAGTTGGAGGCAGGGAGCTAGCGGGGTCCCCCAGGGGTCAGTCCTTGGTCCAGTCCTGTTCAATTTATTCATCAATGACCTGGATGAAGGCACAGAGTGCTCCCTCAGCAAGTTTGCTGATGACACAAAACTGGGAGGAGTAGCCAATACCCCAGAGGGCTG